AACTATATATAACTATATATATATAAGTATATATATATATATATATATATTCTTGTCTTTAAATTTCTGCCGAGTACTATTTTGTTTCTGTCTGAATGTGTACAGTAGAAATTCAATTGTTTTTGGTTACGCTGATGCTGATCCACCAGTAACTATAGTTTTGTATTCTCCACTGACCACCTCCATGAGACCAAAGGATTGAAGCATCGTCGTGTACGTGTATACTGGATTAGACGCCATGAATTACTGATATTCGCATACGTAATCGACTTCTGATATTTTTTTATGACGTTTGGATTCATACTCAATCAAGATTCGACGAATATCTGCTTGAATGTTCGAAACTATACGGACGCACATTCTCATTGATGTTTTCCGATAATGAGAATGTGGTGGTCGTTACTGAGCCAAGAAACTGTGAATATATACTTAAGACCAACTTCAAAAACTACATAAAAGGTGAGTTGAAAGTGTTGAAAGGTATTAGAAGGGAAAAAAAATTGAAATAGCAAGTAAACCCTAAAACGCTTTGTTATATTGGCGGGGGCTCGAGTGATCAGATTGTTCCTTGTGTCGATTGGTTGTGAATTTTTGGCTTCAAAATGGAAAACTATGTTCGTTGCTGTAAGCTTGGTATTTTTTTGCACTGTCAAACCCTTTTGGGTGCTGTCAATGTAGATCCGGCCGGTCTCAAGAGAATGGCTGCAAGTCTTGTGTCTTTGACGCTGCATATAAATCAATGATCTAGTGCAAATTTCTTTGGTATCTAGTTTCAACTCTCATACTTGTATTAGTACGAATGGAGCAAACAAACTGGTGACGAACCGTATTAAAACCAAATACATCTTTTGCGCACAGGTCACCGGTTCAATGAGAAACTCGGTGATGTACTTGGTGACGGTATATTCAACGCTGATGGGCATAAGTGGAAATTGCAGCGAAAAACCGCTAGCCATATGTTCAGCACAAGGGCACTGCGAGAAAACATGGCGCCAGGTAAGGGGATCCATATAGTTACAGTTTGTGTAAATCGATTGGGATCTCCAACCACAGAGAGTGGTTCTGTATCTACTACAGAACATCAGCAGAATGATTAGCTGTACGAAAAGTCGGCAAGTAAGGTTTATAAGTAAACCATATGTTGTGTGTTTTGCAGCGAATAACTCAACTTTAAGGGCAAAGTTCTCAACTGAGGTCCGATGTCCCGTTTTCTTAACTGACTGTTTTTTTTTGGACACTGAATGGTTGCAGTCATATCACGCCATGTGAAACATCTGGTAGCAGTACTGGACAGTGCATCCACCATTGGAGAGACGGTGGATATGCAGGAGTTGTTCTTGCAGTTGACGTTGAATTCCATTGGTGAGATTGCCTTCGGCTGTGACCTGAGCAACCCCAAGATGGCCTGGGCAGGAGGAGGGTTTGGTCACGCATTTGACCGGACACAAAAATACACTGCGGCACGATACATCAATCCAATCTGGCGGTTGTGTCGCAAGTTCAATATACTCGACGAGAGGAAGTTGAGGACAGCTATCACGGACTTGGATGACTGCGTGGCAGATGTAATTGTAAACAGGAAGAAACTAGCTGAAACGGTACATTGATTACTTAGCGTTTGGGTGTGCACTAGATTGACTCACATGCGTGTGTTGTATGGCAGATGGTAAAGTAGTTAGCTCAGTCTTAAGTATTAGCATAGGATTGCGAGCATTTCTCGGAACAATCCCGCGGGTAGACCGCCACCGACTGGTTTATTTCTATTTCTGATGGTGTTGCTATCATAATATTTGTCGAGGAAACGGCACAATATTTGGAACGGGGGTGTATATAGAGCAACCATACTGCTGGTGATTGTTTTGACCGGTCGCGAATATGTTGTCCATGCAAAGTCGAGAGTGAATACAAGTGAATTGTCTCAGATTCTTTTGCGCCACGCAAACAGTCTCAAATTGGACACTGTGTGGTACATTCTTCGATCCAGGTTTCTATAGCCACGCTATAGAATTATCTGACAGCCAAGCACTCCTATCTTGTGCGGAGCAATACGTTGTACACCGCCCGTGTTGTACGTAAGGTTCCCGTTGTATTGCCACGAGACCTTAAAACTCACTGCCGCATATGAAAGATCGGTTTTGCGTGTTTGTATCTAGTTAGTAGAATTTGTTCTCACAGCTGCTGATGCGGTGTTGCTTGCGCTGATGTTGTGCAGGATGGCTTGGATGGTTGCACCGATCTGTTGTCGCGCTTCATGCAAATGAGCGATGTGAATGGGGTGCCTTTCAACGATAAGTACCTGAGAGACGTGATTACGAATTACATGGTATGTGGTGAGTGTTGGTAGTGTGTTGTCATTGCCTCGCAGAACTGATGTTTTGCATTGTATGTGCTGCCTTCATGTCATGTGCCATGTGCTATGGCCATGTCGTTGATTGTCCTTCAGAACAGCTGATTCACTGTATTTTCAATTGAACTAGAGTCACATCGCACACGTGAGGCACTGCAGCAATAGCTGACATTCGTTTACTCTCAGTGTATTGATCTGCAAAGGATATCGTATGTCTGGCATAGTGTATTGATCTGAATCTATCATGCACAGAAAATAGTCTTCTGTAACTCCAGTTTGATATCTCTTTCACCTTGCAACCGATTGTGCAAAGATTGCGGGCAGAGATACCACCGCAAATGCACTGACGTGGGGAGTATACGAGCTTGCCAAGCACCCAGATGCGCAAGCTAAGCTACTCAAAGAGATACTCGAGGCGTTGGGCACGGACCGACCACCTACCTACCACACTGTCGATAGTATGGCATTTGCACAGGCCGTTGTCATGGAAACGCTTCGTCTCCATCCCTCCGTACCCCGAGATCCCAAGCTGTGCCTCGCAGATGATTTATTGCCGGATGGCACTTTCATACCTGCTGGAACGACAGTGGTCTATGCTCCTTGGTAAGTGAGTTATTGAAGTAGCTCAGATATCTACACAGATGAACAATGGGATAGCAAACGTAGCCGACTTAGTTCAAACTTCTGTCAGGAGTATTTTGCATGTTGTGTTAAGCATTGGCGGCTGTATATTGGCTGGCCACTTAAAAACTCTGCGATGGAAGCAATGTGTATATCATGGCGAATACCTTGACATTAAACACAACCAATTGAATGCCTTGACATTAAACACAATCTATCGAATGTGTTGGCAGGTGTCAAGGAAGGATGGAGAGCGAATGGGGAAAGGATTGTGAGAAATATATTCCAGAGGTATGTGCGGTCTCGTTTGGCGTTCTTAAGTATGAATGTATGGTGTAACTCTCAGTGATGATTACTGAAATTAGGAAAGTGAAAAGTTGAGTGTCTTGTTGCACTTCCTCCCACGCACATTGCTTACTGTAGTATCTGTTGCTTTTGAGATCTGCTTGACTGTAGAATATATGTTTCCTATTTGGAAGGGGATGTAGCAGGGGTGACTGTGTTCTCCTTACAAGTTGTAAAGCAATAAATGATCTAATGACTGATTAACCTGCTCACTCGCAGAGATTTATTGGTCGAAATCCGGAGGATAAACCATCGCCATTTAAATTCAACGCATTCCAAGCGGGGCCACGCACTTGCTTAGGAATGAACATGGCATACCTCGAGGCTAAACTCACCCTTGTTAGTCTAGTTCAGAACTTTCAATTTGATTTGGTGCAAACGACTGAACCGAGCATACAATTTACCGTGACACTGCCCATGGCCGACGGCCTGCGTGTTCGTGTTTGCAGGAGACAGGCGGAATCATAATGGCACAAGCGATTCAGGGACCTGAACCCCACGATATAACATTAATAGATACGGATCAACTTTGTGACCTAAGAACTTATTTTTCTGCAATTGAAGTGCGGCCATCGTGCGGACATGTCTAGGTGTCTATTGGGTGCATTGTCTGGGTTTCATTTAGTCATGAATTTGCAAAAACTCATCCACCCACTTAGGTAAAAACTATGCAAAAACAAAACAATATACATATATACACTTCCAGAGTAGTGGAGTTTAATCAAGAAAGTCTGCACTCAGAAAAGAATTAAAAGCACATGGCATTGCTTTTGAACTCAGTGTACTGCTTGGTTCCAGTGAAGCAGAAACACGAGAATTACGGACATCAGTCAATGCAGATCCTAGCATTCTAATCCCAATTCTCACCGATGCCGAGTGGTGTATGAGGCGATTGCTATGCAGCGAGTCCAACGAGTCAGTGTGTGTGTGTACAAGTGCACATGGTATGCCTGTTTCTCCTATCGAAGTATATTAAAACATTTGTTTATTCTATATCATACTATACTTTAGATAGATACCTCATAAACATTTGGACAACTATATTTTTTTTGGGGACTCGCTAAAGTGCCATACAACTGCGCTGACCGCAGGTGGAGGAGTGATTTGTTTTATTTAAAACGGCGGCTGTTGTCGTCCAACAGGGCCACTCCCAGCAGATGGTCAGTTCTTGGGCTCGTGCCCTCCAATACTTTCCTCGAAGTCTGCTGGAATGATCCCTTTCGAAGCCGCGCAAGCCAATTGCAGTTCCTCGAGATAGAGAGACGCCATGCTGGGCAGCGCGTCTTGTAGTGTTGTGCCTTTGCACAGGTCCAGAAGAGGCAACTGTAAGGCAGCCGACCAGCTAAAGCTGATGTTCCACGGACAGTTACCTTTCAGTGCTTGGATGGCGCCCAGTCGCGCGCACGCCACATGGAGTGCTTGGCCGCCACTGAGATAATTGCAACTCCTTATAGACACCGGCATGGTGCGTTTAAGTACCGTCAAGCAGGCAGCCGCAATATCTTGCTTGGTGTAGGAGACAGGATAGGACAACCCAGGCGTCACCATATTGGTCTTCAGTATACACCCCTCCATGTACACGCCGTGGTCAAGCATGGCTTTGTAGAGAGTGGCATGTATTTGTGTGTTGATGGCCACGGCCGTGGGCAGATCGTGGGTGCCTTGCATTACTACGTCGGGTTCTACGATAGGCACCATACCCTCTGCTTGGGATATCAGTGCCACACGCGCTAGATCACGCATGTTGGCTTCTATTGCTATAGCCGTCGGTCTCCCAGTTTCTGCGTCAATGGTGAATGGAGCTCTCCATTTCGTGAACCGTGCGCCAAGAATATAATACCCTCGCAGACGTTCAGCGAGAGAGTCCAGTCCTTGCATAACGGTATCACCGCCGGTGCCGGGTAAAATGTACACCTTCAGGTGCGGTTTAACACCACACACGATGCCTTGGAGCTCGAGTGCATGTCCGAACAAAATTGGCTGGCCTCCAATTTCAATATGCTGCGTGAGTGTTTCCGGATCGAGTATAGCTCCTGTGCCACACAACGTAAGGTGGGGCCTAGTTAAGTTCAGTGATGAAATGCAGTCGGCGTTCCACCGGTGACCTCAGAGTTCGTATTTATAGTCGTATTATTCGTTCTGATTAGAGTAGAACATAATTGATTCCTAACAACATGCAAATTTCAAATTGCCACAGTGGGAGCAAAATGTGGACAAGCATGGTCTTCCACGAATACCTGTGCTTCATTCGCGAAATATAGCAAATGTAATTTCAGCAGACTGTCATGTATGCATGCATGCAAGTATGTATGTATGTCTGTATGTTTGTACGTACGTACGTACGTATGTATGTATGTATGTAAGCCTAGTATGTATGCATGTAAATATGTATGTATAAATGTATGTAAGTAAGTGTATATGTACATGCACATACACATACACACACAAACATATACATCCATATAAACACACACATACACACATATATACACATACATTCATACACACACACATATATATATGCATGCACATACCAACTTGCATACATACATATAAATATTTATACACACAAATATACATACGTATATACTACAAATACATATATACATAATATATATATGCATAAATATGTCACAATATATATTTATATACATATATATGTATATATGTATCATAATAATATATATATATATATATATATACACACACACATATATATATATATATAGATATATGCATGTATAGACATAGATACATAGATACATAGATACATACTTATATACAGACATACATAGATACATAGATACATCGATACATACATACATACATANATATATATATATATATATAACTATTAACTATATAATATTATAATTAACCGGTATAGTTTAAGGTGTAGGTTAGTATACCTATACCTATACT